TGGTGGAATATCGGGTACGGATGCCAATAATTTAGCCGCCGGTGGCGGTGAACGTGGCGGTAAACGCCAGTTTACGTCAGATAAACATCAGCAAAATTTAGCACTCAAAGTCAACGATGAACGTCAATTTCCTACTTTGGCTTAGAAACAAATGCAAATGATTGAAATTAAACAAAAAATAAAAAAAAAGAAAAACAAAATTCGAAAAGAAAAAGCTAAGTATACTTCACTTTCAATTGAAATAATTACGTGATCAACTTATAATTAAAGCCAAATATTATTAAGTTATTTTTTTCGCTTTCCTTCAACTTAAAAAAACAAATCGCTTTATGAAAATTTCAACGGACGCAAAATGGAGGACTCACAAAGGAACACAATGAAATAAAACATACAACAGAGTTGTAAAAATTTCTTATATTTACTTTAATGCTTGGAGAACACTGAAACTTATGGTAGACGAAGTATATATATATATATGCACACATGTGTGCATGTAGAATTTCGAAAAAACATATATACATTATGTATTTTCATATATATGTACATATGTATACATAGCCAAGCTATCTAAATAAATCCTTCTTTCTTTTAAATTTCTTCATTATAACGGCATTTTAAAGGCACCTTTTAGTTTTTCCTGCTTAATCTAAGAATTGCGATATTAATTTATGTTCCACCATTTAGAAGTTGTATACTTCTTCCCCAATAATTTAATGTACAATTATTTCTACTCGCCACTCAGGCGGATGAAAAAAAAAAAAAAGTCTTCTTTTTCATTTACTTCTTCAAATAAATGTCAATTTATATTTCTATACTCACCTATATCACACTTCAAAATATACCTTTTAAACTTATTAAAAAACTTCCAGTAAGAAGACTTGTAATGTCATAAATAATTATATTTTATATAAATTTATTTATATATTATATATGCGCGACAAAAATTCTAATACGTTTATTCGTAAGAACTGAACTAAGAATAATAAACTGAATATTTGCGCTTAAACAGCCTAGAGCGTGCACAGCGTTGCCATTGCAAAGTAATACAATAAATATATTTTATTGCGCTACGTTCAATTTGAAACAAAAAAAAATTTATGATATCAATTTGTTTGTTGTGTTTTGCTTGCGTAAGAATTTTCTATATGAAACAAATGGAATGATGAATTATGCTGATCTTTTGCTTACATATGGCGGTTCACCCGTTAAAACTTTTTACAAATTGGCGCCAGCGATTTATTCTTCCATCAACGCAACATCTATATATATATATATAAAATTAAGAAAGAAAAGAAAAAACAATACAAACAACAACTTCTGTAAAGGCTGAGATTTTTTACTTCTTCTCGTTTTTCTTTTTTTTCTTCTGCCCTTGTCTGTGAAATGGTAACCACACCTGTTGAATGTTTGAGAATCATTCTCTAAAGGCGTACAATACATGTAAAGAAATTTATTCAAAAAAATATTCAGGCATTTTGTGAAAAGTGCAAAAAGTTCTCACCTACCAATTTTACTTGTCAACCGACAATACGACAAGTATTTGAATTTATTTTCAATACCTTTCGGTTTATTTTCATTTCAGTAGAGAGTAAATAAAATGATGGCATATAAAAGAATAGGGATAGTAGACGGGATAAGTAGACGAGGCTTAATAATAATACCGAGAACACTTATTCAGCTTGACAACACTCGGCCCTATAATTCCAATTCTCTTAAGGAATCTTCGGAAGCACCGCGTTGTTATGCACTGGCCACATCCTGTGTTTCTCTTTGTTATTATTTTTCGTTTCGATCGGTACGGCGTGTCCAAATAACGTTTTATCTTTTACGATGATAAGTCGCTCTACGGACACTATCCAAAGATGAGCTATTCGTATATGCTGGACGTGTTGGAAAATTTCTCATTCAGTCAAAAGTCAAATGACTCGAGCCCGAATATGTTAATAAAAAATGGAAAATGCCAATGGCTTAATGGCCAGTTGGTCGGAAATTTCCCTTTCTATGGCGAAGATCACATATAAAATTTCCGTTTCCGTTAAGCCTTTTGATATGTTTTTGTACTGTCCGGGGGCATTAAATAATTAGACGTTTGGTAGACTTTGACTCGACCAGTGGGGAATGTTGAGACCATATCTATACTTTCTTACTCGTGTCACACATTACGTGCAAGGCTGAGGGGCGCCCACTTCGACTAGACAACAAATTGCCAATGGTTCTGCAGACTTCACGCCAGAGACATCTGTAATGCCCGATTACTAAAGCGTAATCTAATCGACAGTTTTGAAGAGGTCATTCCGTTTATCTTTGTGACACAAGTGATGGCGAGCGAATACTACTAGTGCCTACCAGGCGATGGAGTTAGTAATAACTGAAACCGAATTGGGCCAAGAAATTGAACTAATTTTAATTTTATCTAAATTTTCTTAAACAATTTCTCCAAACAATAGTAAGAAGATAAGGAATTACTTTGTGTTTCCAGCAATTATAGCAAAAAAGCCAAAAAAATCTACTTACAATCTCCTGTTGTTTCCAATGACACGATCGCTTCTCGTTTGTTTGGTGCATTGCACAGTTTTCCATATTCTTACTCGCGGACATACGATTCTGGCGATTTGTTTCAAAAAGGCAGAGAAAAAGAAGAAACCCTTAAAAACGGTTTGTTGGGATACCAAAGCGATAAAATGAATTTATTACTCGGATTCTCTAAGGCTTAACCATATTCCTGCATTTCTTCACGGATCGTTTCTTTTTTTTTTAATTTCTTTTTCGCTCCTACTGCACCAACCTACGGTATACCATAAGTACCCTAAGTACTAGTGAATCAAGCTATAAGATTTGTACAGTGAAAGCTCCTTATTCGCGCTTCCTTCATTCGCATTTTCATTATTCGCGGATTAAAAAAAATTAAAAAAATTCCTATATTCGCGGCTATGAATTTCTTTATTCGCGGGTCGAATAAGTACATACATAATAATAAAAGGATTCCAATAGGTATCCAATTACCATTCCATATTCACGGTTTCTGTATTTGCGGCACATATACCCAGCGAATAAAGAACTTCTCCTACATTCCTCGTAATTTGATATCAAATTTTTCTTCTTATTATCCCTGATAGTAACTATAATTTAAACGGATGTAAACGTCCAAACAAGTTTCTGTGGGCGTGAGAAGATTAAGCACAGGAGCATTACTAAGCCGATTTGTATATTTCGCTACAGGATCGACTTTTCGTTTCGGGAGACGATCAGTTGCGAATAATACTGCACTTATCTGAGGTTGTTGCGGGTGAATGTGAGTTTCGATATAAAAAAGGAAAAGAAAACAAACAGAAATGGGTTGAAAACAAGCCACTTCTCATGACGAATCTGTCGTTGCGCTGCCTTTTTTTAGGTTGCGTCGTGCAATTATGTAATTTACAGTTTAAAAGTTTCAAGTCCAAAAGGTTATAAAAATAGTTCCGTTTTTAACTACATCTGGAAATCATCCCTACTTTTTCAATCGACCGCAGCGTTTCAAACAGGTCGTGACGGGCAAACGGTCATTTGAATTTTTTTAAAGAATTGGAAGTGTCGTAAAAGTTTAGAAGAAAGAGTTCCGATCGTGAAAGAACTATTGTAAGTGTTATGAAAAACTGGAAAATTGTTTGGAATCTTTAGGTCAAGTGGGATCGGCAGCTGTTGGTATACGGTTTCGAGAGTGGAGTGCAGTTCACTTTGCAAAACGACCATATTGCACGTGTCGTTCGATGAGGCGAGCTGCTAATGGAAATCCTACACATTTTATATATATATACATATGCAATACAAAACATGTGCATTAACAAATATGTGATATAACACCAAAGACTAAGTTCCTAGTGTTTTTCCGGCAAAAATCGAACGCATTCTTCTTCCATTCCGAATTAACTTTGCTACACCTGATACCTGCAGTTGTAATCGATAATCTGATGCCATTTTTCTATTCAAAACCATTATCCTCCTAGACGAAAAACTAGAACTGGCATAGAGCTTTTGAAGTTAGTTTTGGATTATGCAGAGAAAGCTCTACGGGGAACGAAACAAATGACGGTTGTTCTGACCGGTCGCACTCATTACAGCGCTGCCCATTCCGGCAAGAATGACTCTATTTCGTTTCGTTTCAGCAGAAAAATTACCTTTGGAAGTTCGATTCCAAAACTGTTTTTGTAGACATTGTTTAATCCTGATTATGATAAAGCTCTGTCTCCACCATAAATGTGACCGGGTTTTATAAGTCTTGGAAGCATCATCGTTTTGGCCGAAATATAACGAACATAACGAAACATTTTGAAGCATTTTTTTATGTATGGATAGATTGGGTTGGACAGAGTTTGAAGTATTGTCAATGTCATCATTGGAGCAACGATTGCGAAGTGTTTCTCTTGTTTACTAAAACCGTTTAAAAATTTCGTTTACATCTTTATCAGTAAGCTGATTGAGTTATCCTTTCCTATCCATCTGAAATTCACTGATTAATGATATTAGAGAAAAAATTCTTGAGAGTCTTCATAGTGCTTTATTTCGCTTATTTTATATACAGTTTTTCTATAAAAAAAAAAAAAATAAATAAAAAACAAAAAAAAAAAAAACTTAATTTATGTTTACATATAAAGCTTTTCCTAATCAAATACTAGATTCATATGCTGTATGGTTAATAATATTTCGCGCGATATTATTTAAACATTAGACATTTTTCAAAATATAAAATATTTTACGGAATTTTTCTCAGAGACTTAGGGTTCAATTTAAATTATCTAAAAGTGAAAAGAAAAAATTTAAAGAAGAGAGAACGTTCTAGATGAAGAAAATTTAAGGGGAAAAAACGAAGGAAACTTTAACTTGATATTTGATTATAATCCTTATTGATCAGTGCATTATCTATAGGGTAATCGAATACTTATTCATTCATTTCTTGTCCTCTTCATTTCGTTTACTGGTTTTCTCTTCTTCTTCTTCTTCTTTCTCATTTAAACGCACACATTTCAGTAAATTACATTTTTATCTACAAATAAGTTTGCTTTGAGCTTTTCTGGCTTCAATTTAAACTTGGCTGCTGCATGGACGGCTTGCAGTCTCGTAGGCCGCCCATTGAAATGATAGTCCGCACGATCTAGGTTATAGATTTTACTTTCGGCGGGTTTCTTAGCAGTAGCCGATACTGGCGACGTTGCCGTTTCGATTCGATAAGATTTCTGCGACGCTTTCACATTTGTAGTCGACTGCTGAGATTTCTCAAATTGAAGGAAATTCGTCGGTAAAGTGTTTTTATCGCCCATAATTTTATTGCTGAATCTTGTATCCAATAATAAGGGCTTTATTTTCAAAGGTTGATAATCGTACCCTCGACCAGGTACAAATCGATATGGTAATGGCGGTATTGCTATAAAATAGATACGTGAATCCTTCTTGCTTTTCTTAATCTTAGGACGATTTGAGTATTTGCGTAGTTGTAGAGGTTTCGACGAAACTATGAACTCCTTAAGTATATTATCCATGCTTGGACTTTGAAATATCAACTTTGAAGCCAAATGCGATCGAGCTTTTGGTTGATTTATTGTTGTTGCCGTTGCAGTTAATGTATTTGTATTGATTATCATCGGGGTGACTAGTGAAGGGGACGTAATGGAAACGGCAAAAACGGAAAGAAGCCAAAAACCAACATTACGCTCAAGTGAAGATAACATTCTGTAAGAAAAAAAAAAAGAAAAGAAAACAAGTAAGTAAATTAAATTCGGTCAGGACCGAATCTTTTATACCCTTTCCCGTTATCCTCAAAAAGACAAAAGAAGAGAAAGAAAGACATTTTCATGGTCTATAATAGTGAGAGGGGGCGCAAGTGATTTTTTTTATTTTCAAAATAAAAGTAGGCGCGTCCTTTGAAAAGTTTAGGTCAATTCCAAATTACTTTGCGAATTTGTAAACAATATCTTCATTTTCGCTAACGGGAGAATGCTTACCACAAACACTACAAAGTTGCCCATATTTACAGATGTACAGACAGACAGGTGCATTTCAAATTTGAAACTGTCCAAGAACTTGCATACTTTGCGGGCTTTTGGAGCTTGTTGCGTCTGCGCGTTATAAAGATATTGAAAAAACAATTAAATTTTAATATATTGTAATATTGGGTAGGCGGGGTCAATTTTTTCCATTTTCGTGCACAAGTGCTACACCATCGCCCAAAGAACATGCGATCATATTTTTGTATTGATTTATTTGCTATAGCTTATGAGTAATGAGCAAAAAACCAATTTTTTATTCGCTTTGAAAAACAGAGGTGTTCCCAATTTACGTAGTGCTGTGAGCGCGTGCTTTGACCGATTCTACCCATTGTAAATGCCAAGATACCTGCAAGGAGTTTCAATGTTTCTGCCAAATTTGAAAGTGGTAGCTTCGTTGTTGCGGCCAGGGAAAAGCTTGCAACAGTCGGACGGACGGACATACTTAAATCGATTTAGAATCTTATGCTGATCAAGAGAGTAAATATACATTGTGCGATTTCTGGTGCTTCCTTCTGATTATATCCCTCATCCGATGGGTATAAAGAAGCAGAAGAAAATAACTCGATAAATATATTTATAAAAAAGTTTCTTTCACTAATAAATGCTTAAATTTAACTAATTACATATATTAAACTTGTGCCGTTGTTAGTTGGTTATTCAACTTTAATAATGTGGTTGCATGTATTCAGCCAAAAAGATTTGTAAGTCAGTCAACGTTTTTAACATGTCTGACTAAGTCAATGCTCTTAGCGTTGCTAGCCGTTAATTAATGATTAGTGATTAAACCGAAATACATTTCAAACACCTTAACAGATCGTCGCCGCTTGTAATTAATTCTTTTCACACTTGATGGTGGTCTCCTTAACCATTCATGTGTGTCTAAAGTGATTGAAGTTTTTGTAAAACACAACATAGCATTAATATTCAACTACAGCTGTTAAATGAGTTTATTTGAATGAATAATTTATGATAATTGCTTTTGATCAAATTTCCCCATTGATCTTATTGCTTTTAAATCCAACATCGAAGAAAGTGGACATGATAAAACTTGCATTCCGTTTGTAACGTTCCAAGAATATGTTCTTTAGATTATCATAAGATAATCAAATTTTTGTTCGTCCGTTCGTGCGTCCAATGTCTGCTCTTGATGTTTTTTCAGAAGCAAAAAATTGACAAAAAACAAGTAAGAAAGTTATATTCAGCGGAAGTCGAATCTCGCATACCCACCACTAGGTTTTTCGCATTCTACTCTTCAAGTTTATATATTTCATACCCATATCGCTGGTATTATTAAGAAAAAGCAATAGCGGTATGTACCGCACTCATCTTAAAATTAACCGATTTTTAGGCAGATAATATATCTTCATTTAAGGAGTGTACAAAATAGTTTTAAGCATTCGGTCTGGTTGGACCTATGATAAGTAAACACCAGAGCTCAAAAAAGAGAAAAAGAAGCAAATTTAATCACTTGTAACTTTCTGTGGGCATGGCGGATGTTTTCCATTTTTGAACGCAAGGAGTAGAGTGCTTCATAAAGTAAATGTGGAAATTGCAGTCATTGCGCCCTTTTCGATATCTTCGATATTTTTGCGACCAGAGACAGACGGACAGATATGGTTAAATCAGGCTCAGAATTTCGCGCTGATCAAGAATATATCTATGGTTTTTTGGGTCTCTGAAGTTTCCTTTTGGTTGTTACACACATTATGGGAAAAAACAAAATGAGTAGTCGCTTCATCTTACAGTTAATTCAATTTAGATTGGAAACGTGAATTCGATAAACGCCACACACACACACACACACAAGATCTATACTTAAATATCGAGCAATCTGTAATAGTGTGATGAATAATGATCTAATCAAATTGCGAGGGTTTATCCATATCCAAACAAGTGGTTTTTATATCCAGCAGCGATTCCGCAAAACGTATTGAGTTGGGGGAAAAGAAATCCATTATTTCTTCGGTAGATGACTGTAGTGATCGATATTTCGCAAAGTATTGATCAAACAATTTTAGATTTGTGCGCCTTGGAAACGTGACATATTTGAATAAAAAAATTCTTTTAGAATTTTCTTCTGTCCTTTTTTAGAATTTTTTTATTCGGTCCATTCTGTTGTGACTTGCAGGGTGTTGAAAATACTGTATACTTTAAATGCCAACTACGCATAATTTAGGTTTCGTTAATTTCGGTCAGGCATTTCATAAAGATCCGTACAGGTTGCTAGATCCACCCAGGGTGCAAAGATCGACCATAAAACAGTTTTAAACCATTTACACAATGGATTCAAAAAGAAGCTCGATGTTTGGGTGCCACACCAATTAATCCAAAAAAGCATAATGGGTCGAATTTCCATCTGCGAAGACTTGGTTAAACGGAACGAAATTGACTCATTTCTTAAATGGGTGGAGGCTGGGGATGAGAATTGAATCACTTACGACAATATCGCGGGAAAACGATCGTGGTCAGCGCGAGGTGAAGTAGTTGAAATGATGGCCATACCAAAACCAACGGCCAGGAAGGCTCTGCAGTGTATTTGGTGGAACTGAAGAGGAATCGTTCGGAATCATGCGGCCAAGTATAAATTCGTATCTCTACTGTCAATAATTTGAAGCTGGCGATTGACAAGAAACGACTAGAATTGGCCGAGAGGAAAGGTGTTTTGTTCTAGCAGCACAACGCCAGATCGCACAGGTCAAAAGTGACTCTGCAAAAATTCCGGGTGCTTGATTGGGAGGTATTGATGTATCCACGACATAATCCGGACTTGGCGCCAAGCGATGATCATGTTTTCCTTGCATTGCAAAATTCCCTCAATGATAAAAAATTGGCATCAAGGGAAGATTGTGAAACACGATTACTAGAGTTTTTCGTCAATGGTAACCAAGACTTCTACGAGAGAGGCCTTACGAAGCTGCCTTGAAAATGGCAACAAATTGTAGAACAAAACGGTGCATATTTGACCAAAATCGGTAATCGGTGTTAAATAAAGTGTAGAAGCTCATGTAAAAATAATGGATTTCTTTGGATCGAATTTAAACATGTCCGTCTGTCCATTTGCGTAATGTCTGTCTTCAGCATTATGCTAGCCGCAAACATGAAGCTGTCAGCTTCGGGTTTGGCAGAAACATTGGAAATTGTCGCACGCAGTTTGGTAGTGAAAACGAGCAAGATGGAGCGATGACACGCCCACAGTGCCAGAGAAACTGAGCATACAATCAAATCAGAAGGAAACCTCCTTATCTTGCATCACTCGAGAAGTAATCTTGTTATCATTATTTCCAAAGACCTTCCAAAGTTAATCGAGGACTCCGTTGAAGACGAGATAAAGATGATTAAAAAACGCTCTATTTTAGATGAAAGTAAAACACACTTGTGAACTGTAGACTGCTGTTAAGCTAAGGAGAAGGAAAAAGAATATTTACTCAGATAAGTTGACTTGTCTTTTCCTATTTTCATCCATCCCTTTGATATTATGTTCAAGAAAATTTATAACCAAGTTAAATTCCGCGACAGTAAAAATTTGCGTTAATAGCTAAAGTTGCATTGGTCACTAGTTAAGCGCTTTCTAAAAGCCTTTGTTGTTTTTAATAACGATAATAAAATAGCATAAGAGGAAATTCCATTGAAATTTTAAGATAAAGGCATTATCGGCCGCGCTTTCAAGAATTATTGCAAAAAATATATTTGGGAAATATTACAATCCGGAGTCAGATGCGGCTAACCTCTCTCTCTGTTTATCAACCAATTTCATCTCAAAATAGTTTTTATAGACAATTGGCTGCAGATTAACTGAAAGCGGGACCTTCTGAAATTGTAATCACAAAACTGAAAAAAGTTGGCTGCGATCACTGGATTTTCTGATCAGCTGTTATGTATTTATGAACCAATCAAACAATATTGTTAACAAAAAAAAAAAAAACAAACGATAAAAATAACGAAGAAAACGAAAACATTTCTTTTGTTGGCCAACTCTGTTATGTGGTTAGTTAAACTGTAATAAATGTCTTATTGTAGTTAACTTTTCCGCCACTTATAATATTATTCAAGAGTTATATATATGTGTGCGTGTGTGTCAGTGTGTTTGCGCATGCAAGAATATTTGAGAAAGATTTGAGAAAGTACAAACATGTATAAATAAAAATGAAATGCGATAGATGTGCGTGAGTTTGTTACACAGACATGCAATTAGAGTGTTTTTGGCCTTCTTCTATGCTTTTTTTGTTTTGTTCTTTGGAAATTCAAGTCATGTGCTAATTGCGTCTCGTCACATGTCTCTCGTATTAAATTTTACAGCGAATAGCGAATCCCCAACAGGTCTTAAGATGCAGATAGAGTAAGTCGGTCATTGTTTTTCGTCTTCACACCATCAAGAAGTATCTATCGAACACATCTTAATGTAGACATTATAGGCTCATGGAAAACTGAATATTGTCAAGTTTATGCTTTTTCTTCTTTTTTTTCTTGTCGTTTTCAGGCTACACCTTGCATCTAGTCTTGGCGTGTTCCGCTCTTAAGCAAAACTTTAATTATTGAAAGAGCGAAATATTTTTTTTTATATAAAAAGTCGATTATATTAGAGTGAAAAAATTTGAAATCGTCTAAAAACTTGATTTACTCAGCATGACCCTCTCTATGACTCCAGTCACTCGTATCACATCACTTATACAAGGAGAA